TGGCCCCAGACACCCTGGGGGGGGGGCGGAGCTGTCCCTGAGGGGGGTGGTGTCCCTGGCGCTGGCACCTGGGTCACTGCTCCTGGAGGTCAGAGCCTGAGGTGCGGGCTGCCCGGGGGGCCAGGTGAAGGAGGAGGGAGAGAGAAGGCGCTGCAGGAACGGGCCTGTGGGGTTCCGCAGGGCAGAGGCGTCGGGGGAGCAGGGGAGGAGGGGACAGACACGGCCCCGTCTGGAGGGCCTGGCGGGAGCTCGCGGAGAACTGGAGAAGATTCTGGAGGGAACGCACACAGCCGGCTCTGCACTCCGGCTGTGGGGGCTGGGCGGAGGGTGCGCCTCGGGCGTGGCCGGCTCCGGGGACAGGAGCTCCCGCGTCCATCAGGACCGAAAGAAAACTCTGGGTCTGGGAGCCTGTCCTGCCTCCCAGCGACAGCTCTTACCCTTGAAACCCGTCCCACAGGGCAGACGGCCCCAGCCCCTCCCGAACTGTTCTCGACAACTGACCCTGAACGGCTCCCGGTCCTCCCACCCGCTGCTATTCCGCGGTGGCTGCTGAGACCCCGGAGAGCAGCCAGCAGCGGCCACGCTGCCCCGCACACGGGTGGGTCCGAGGCCCCGGGCACTGGAAGACTAGGGCCGAAAGGCAGGGAACTTTCCCTGGAAGTGACAGTGACCCACGACAGCCCTCAACCTGGAGTCTCCACTTGAGGGCGGAATGGACCCTGCGGGGGTCTTCCTAGGAGAAGACTGTACCTACAGGGCCACAGAGATGCACCGAGGCTGTGCGGGTGGCGCCGGGGACAGGCGCCCAGAGAGAGGCCGCTGCTGCCTCCTGGTGGACAGCGCGAGACGGAGGCCGGCGGCGCCAGCGTGGGGAGCCCTGCCGCTGCGGGTGGTGCGCACGCGGGGGTCGGGGCGCTCCGGTGGGAGAGGAGGGAACATTGGCGGGTCTCGGCTTGTGGCTGGTGACTCCTTCCCCCGTGCTGTCTTAGCAAAGCGCAGGGACAGCTGTCCATGAGTGGCTGCGGCAGTCTGTACAGGCGGGGGCGGGGGCGGGGAGAGCCGCAGGTTCCCAGCCTGCAGGCCTGTCTGGCTCAGAGAGCAGGGCCCTGGGGCGGGTACTCTCCTGACATTACCTGCTGGGTCACAGTGGACACCGAACCCGCTCTCAGGGCAGCCAAAGCAGAGACTCGCTCTGCCCTCTGTCTGTGGCTCTGGCACTTTGTCTGGCTGTGCTGCCCTCTCGCCTGCACACGGATGCAGCGGGCTTGCGAGAGATCAGCGAAGACCCTCATGCTCAGATCTCTTTGGCCTAATGTGACAAATCCATGGACCTTACCGAGACTTTGTTCTCTTGAAGACCACCGTTTGCCAATGAGATTATCTGTGGCCCCTGCCCCCATCTAGGTCACCAATGCAAGCTCCACACCTGCAGATGCTTCCTTTTTGGGACCCAATCCACAGGGCAGATTTGTTCAAAAAGTATGACATGACAGGTTGTCCAGCACTTCCCTGGAAGCCGGACATCTGGTACTCCGGCCCCGCCCAAAGAGAGGAGGTGGAGATGCTATTTCATACTGTCTTCACGCCTGGGCACTCTTACTACCCAAACCAGTCAGCACCAGGTGGCGATGAGGAGCTGTACATCTGATACACAGGCCCCGCCTAGCCCTACTATACGCAGGAAGAAATGCAGTTGAATGGCTTTGAATGTTCAAGCCTCCATCCCCCATGGGAACATTGACCATCACCACACTGGCTAAAATAACCTAACAGGAACTCTGGAAAACAGTCAGAGGTCTACAGCAACCAAGTGAAAGCCCCGTCAAGAAAAGCCACATTTCAAAATGGTAGAAGATGTCATAGTGTTTTCACTCCCCCTTGCCCCACTCAGTTCCCAGTGCTTCCCTTAAACTGCAGGGAATAGAGCTCATCTTCTTTGCATGAGTCTAACCTCCCTGGCAGCTGCCCAAAGGACCAGTCTCTGTTTCATCTAACTTAGTTCTTGTGCCAAAGCGATTGCTAGTACTTGGGAAAGCCGCCTGGGGATGACAGACACAGATGCCTGGGGCAAGAGATGAGGGGCGGAGGGCACCAAGGGGAACCTGGGAGAAGATTCTGGGAAATTGCGACATTCCAAAGCAGCTGTATATACAGTGGACCGGGGAGGGCCCCACACAGGCCCAGACAAGTTCCCTGAGGGGGAACTTCAGCCTGCAGGTGGGGCTGATCCCAGGGCTGGGACAGTGCCCAGCTCACTGGTGAAGGACTCTCCTGGCATAGAGCAAACCACAAAGACTTAGTTTAGAGAGGTGGGTCCCCCCCATCCCCAACAAATGTCCAATTTTCAACACAAGGCCAAAGAAAAGGGAGAAAAGCAGTCTATTCAAAAGAAGAAAAGAAGCTGCCAGAAGCTATCCCTAAAGAAGTACAGGCCCTGGACTTATTGAACCAAGACTGTGAAACCACCATCTTAAATATACACGAAGAGCTACAGGAAAACACGGTCAAAGGGTTATAGGAAATCAGGAAAATGACATAAGAACAAACTAAGAATATCCACAGAGAGACAGAAATTACAAAAACAGAATTTTTGGAGAAATTCTGGAGCTGGAAAAAAAAGTTTGAAAAATTCATTAGATTCAACAGCAGATATGAGCCAGCAAAAACAAACAAATCTGAAGATGGGACATTTGAAATTATTGACACTGAGGAGGAGGAAAAAAAAAAGATATGAAGAAAAGTGACAAGAGCCTAAGGGACTTACAGGATAATATAAAATGGACCAATAACACACATTATTAGAGTCTAGTAAAGCAAGAAAGGAGCAGAGATTACTTGAAAAAAAAAAAAAACATAATAGCCATAAACTGCTATCACTTGAAGATATAAATCTACAAAAATGAGAAATGAAACAACTCCAAATAGGATAAACCCTAAGGGAACCATGTTGTGACACATTCTATCCAAACTGTCAAAAACCAAAACCGAAGAATTTTTAAACCAGGAAGAGAAAAGTGACTCATTATAGAAAATTCTAGGTAAGATGAAGAGTGATTTCTCAGGAGAAACACTGGGGCCCTGTAGGCAGTGAAATATTCACATAAAGTGCTAAAAGACAGAACCGGTCAACTGGGAATTCTGTAACTAGCAAAACAAAACTGTTCTTCAAAAATGAAGGAGAAGTGCCGACGCTCCCAGGTCAACAAAGATGGTGGTGCAGGAGCACTGACCTGGCTTATGGGAAATGCTACAGGAAGTCTGTCAGGGGGACATGAAAAGGAGCCAGAGGGAAACACTAAGTCATACGAAGATGTAAAAACATCTCCAGTAAAGGTAAACACATAGGCAAATTTAAAAAAGCAATTATTATTGTAATTTTGGTTTGCAGCTCCACTATTTATTTTCTACAGGATTTAAAAGACATGTGTAAGAATTACACACGTGTTACTGGGTGCACAGTATATCACTATGTCCTCTGTGACCTCAAGAACAGAGGGTGGAGAGACAGAGATGTACAGGAGTTTGTATATGTCACTGAAGCTGGTAATCAATTTAAAATAAATTGCTTAATTTTAAGATGTTACGTGTAGTCTCTCTGAGTACCTACATTAGAAAGAAAGCTCTCAACAACCTAACTTTACACCTTACTGGAAAAAGAACACACTAAACTCAAAGCTAGCAGAAGAAAAGAAGTAACAGACCAGAACAGAGTTAAGTACACTAGAGAAAAGAAAAATAGAGAAAATCAACAAAACCAAAAGTGGGTTCTCTGAAAAGATCAATACAATTGAAAAATCTACATAGAATAGGAAAAAAGGTGGCTCAAGTTACTAACATCAGAAATAAAAGTAGAAGAAAAGAAAAACAAAAATAGATTAAAAAAAGAAAAAAGTGTGGATATTACCCATTTTATAGAAAGGGTTATAAGAGAATACCATGAACAGTCGTACCCCAACCAGATGGATAACCTGGATAAAGTTAACAAATTCTTAAAAACATAAAATCTACTAAGAATGAATCATGAAGAAGCAGAATCTGAATAGACTTATAACTAGTAAGGATATTCAACTAGTAATTAAAAAAACCCCAACAAAAGCCCAGGACCAGACGGCTTCAATGGTGAATTCTACCAAACTCAAAAAAAAAAAATTTTTTTTTAATGTTTGTTTATTTTTGAGTGACAGAGAGGGAGACACAGAATCTGAAGCAGGCTTCAGGCTCTGAGCTGTTGCAAAGACCCTCACATGGGCTCAAACTCTTCCAAGAAATTGTAGAGAACATTTCCTAATTCAATCTAT